CTCTCTCTCCCCCTCTCTCTTTAAAAAAAAAAAAAGAACACTAATTACTAATCTAATTACACCTGCAAAATCCCTTTAGCCATGCTACATAACATGCTAGGGTGAAGGCAGGAGAACATGACATTTTCAAGACATCCTGCCTACCACTCAAGTCTTCTGGCAACCCACCCAGCTAGGCCTTCACCCCTACCACCCACTGAAACTGCTCTACAACATTGACCAAAACAAAACTTGCTTATCGAGGAAGCCAAAAAATACACACGATGGGTTGTCAGAATGGGATGACAAGCAGGCCAGCACTAGCAGCTGAGGATCTGATGAGGGAGCAGAGTCGTCCTCACTGAGAAACTGACATGAGCAGACAGTCCCAAAGGGAGTGAGCCATGCAGGCACGTAGGAAGAACGTGTGGCAGAGGGGACATCCTGAGCTGAGAGCATGTCTGGCATGTTTGAAAAGCAGGCTGGTGCTCCACAGCTGGAAACTCAAACTTGTAGGAGGCAAGAGTGGAAGCAGGAAGGTTCTTTTTTTTTTTTTTTTAAGAGAGAGAGAGAGAAGAGAGATACTTTTAATATTTATTTTTCAGTTTTTGGCGGACACAACATCGTTGTTTTGTATGTGGTGCTGAGGATCGAACCCAGGCCACATACGAGCGCACTACCGATTAAGCCACATCCCCAATCCCAACAGGAAGGTTCTCTAGGCAGTGATCAGAAGCACAGAGTGGGAGTGGGAGGTGATAGTGTTTGGACATGAGTGGTAGTAGTAGTCTGTATGTTAGGTAGTTCTGATTGTGCCGCATTAATAAGCAACCCTGAGTTCTCAGTGGCTTAGCAAAATAAAACTCTATTTGTCAGTTATAATATATGTTAAGTTTACAAAACAGTATGAATATAGACTAAATAAGAGAGATATCCATCTGGATATTTGTCATTCAAGCCAGGTGTCATGGCTCATGCCTGCAGTCCCAGCAGCTCAGGAGGCTGAGGCAAGAGGATCGTGAGTTCAAAGCCAACCTCAGCAACTTAGTGAGGTCCTAAGCAACTCAGTGAGACCCTGTCTCTAAATAAAATATCAAAAAGAGCTGGGGATGTGGCTTAGTGATTAAAAACCCCTGGATTTAATCCCATGTACCTAATGAAAAAATAAAAGCTAAATTTGGCATTCATTAGTATACTTATTGTATGTAAAGCTCTTAGTCCTTTTGGGCTGGTATAATAAAATACCCTAGACTTGGTAGTTTGTAAATAATAGAAATATATTTAGCAGGGGATATAATTTAGTGGTAGAGCATTTCCCTATCATATGGGAGACCCTGGGCTCCATTGTCCAACACTGCAAAAAACAAGTAAAAAAATAAAAATAAAGTCCAAGATCAATTTACTGCAGATTCAGTATCGGGTGAGGGTCTGCTTTCTCCAAAGATGGCACCTCTTGCTGCACGCTCACCTGGAAGAAAATAAAAAATTAACAAACATTTATGTATGATATGTCAAAATGCCTTCTGCTGTTATGTATAACTGATTAGAATAAAAAATACATATTAAAAAAGATAACAAACACTTTCAAGCCCTTTTACAGAGGTTTTTGATCCCACCCATGAAGGCAGAGCCCTTGTGGCCTCATCATCTCCTAAAAGCCTCACCTCTGAGTACTGATGCCCTGGGATTAAGTTGCACTATGGATTTTGGAAGGACACAGGCATTCAAACCATGGCAAAAGTCAGAAAGTTGGGGCTGGGGCTGGGGCTCAGCGGTAGCACGCTGCCTGGTATGTGTGAGGCACTGGGTTCAATTCTCAGTACCACATAAAAACAAAAATCTATCAACCAAGAAAAAAAATTTTTAAAAAATCAGAAAATTGGGTGACATCACTGTGGGACCAAGTAAGACAGAAAGTCTGATTCCTGGACCTATTGTACAAAAGTGGAAAGAGACTGGAAAGAAAAGGATCCAGAAAGGAGAACTAACATGTCAGATAGAAGGGACACCAAGAAGGGTGTGGCCTGCAAGCTGGGGAAGACAGGGTGTATGGTAGCAGGAAGGGTCCCCTGGGCCAGACTCTGCAGATAGGCCCTATTCGGTGGCACCTGGAAATAAATCAGTGATTTTAGCAATCTGACCATTGGTTGATTACCTTGATAAGTACAGTTTCAGTGGAAAAACAGATCTAGTTGGTTTAAAAAGAAATGGGAGGACAGGAATTGGAGACCATGAGAAAACTTCTATAGCATTTTGTCAAAGAGGGGAATAGAGAAGTGGGGCTGAAGTTGGAAAGAAAGAAAGTCAAGGAAGAATGTTAGTTGTTCAGGGTGGGTGGCCACGCCTGTAATCCCAGTAGCTCCTGAGCCTGAAGGAGAGGGATGGTGAGATCGCGAGTTCAAAGCCAGCCTCAGCAACTGATGGAGTCCTAAGCAATTTAGCAAGACTCTGTCTCAAAATAAAAAATAAAAAGGGCTGGGGATGTGGCTAAGTGGTTGAGCCTCTGGGCTCAATCCTTAGAGAGAGAGAGAGAGAGAGAGAGAGAGAGAGAGAGATGGGGAAATAATTAAAAGGAGAGATTTGTATAGTGGGAGTTAGCATGCATGTCTGTTTATTGGTGGGAACGAACAAGTGACTTGCTTTGCCAGTGGGGTGCTAGGAAAGCAAGTTCTCCTTAGAGAAGGAGAACAAGTTATAAAGGAAAGGATGGGAGATGGGCAGAGAAAGGGAGAGGATGGAGAGTTACTTCTACAGGAGTGCATGTCTGGGTTCCTATCAGTGAGGGGAATCTGATGGCCGGGCTCTGGAAAGGCAGTGTGTGGGAGGCTTGGGGGAGTTCTCTGATGAGAAGCTGCTGCTTTCTTAGTGCAGTAGAAATCACTGTGAGTGTGAAAGAAGGACTGGCCCTTCTAGCAGAGAGGGTCAGGAGTGGCACACCCACTTGTGGCAGGCGCCTGAGGGGCAGAAAGCACAGCACGGGGGTCAGCAGGAATGTGGGAATGGAAACCAGTCACCAGTCTAGTCTGTAGGCTGCCTCTGAGAAGGTAAGGAGAGGTTGGATTGGACAGGACTCTGCTCACTCTAGGTGAGCTCGGGAAGCAAGAGAGGAAGAGGCTGGAAGAGTAGGAGTGGCTGTAAGGCTTGTCCTTGGCACCAGAGCTAAAAGACACCAGAAGGGTGTCATCAGTGGTTCGGAGGCCACAATGGTGGTCCAAAAGATTGTTGGCACTGGAGGGAGGATTAGAAGGAGAGGAAGTGGGGGACTCAGACCCCAGGAGGACTGGACTTGAGATTGTGGAGAGACTGCTGCTGTTGCTGCTGACCACCACATGCTTCAGTTACCTACTGATGTGCAACAGACTCCCCCAGAATGTAACTGCCTAAGTAAACACAGATTTGTCATTTCTCACAGTTTTGTGAATGGACTGGAGATCTTCTGCCTCACATGGTGTCGGCTGGGCCCCTCAGTGGGTTGCATTGGCTGGGAATTCAACTGCAGCACCTCACTGTTTTTTTCATTCCCATGGGGTGGGGTGGGGTGGTGGTGGTGGTTCCCCTTGTGGTCTGGCCAGATTGCCAGGACTCCTGTGTGCGCAGGGGCTGCTGAGCCTGGGCAGAGTCCTGCTCTTCTAGCACCCCACTGGCAAAGCAAGTCATATGGGTGAGCCAGGCAGTGCAGGAAAGTTGACACAGGACTTGAGGACAGTGCTGTGGTATGGATGAGGGTCCTGGAGACTTGTGTGGAAGGCTTGGCTGCCAGGCTCTGGTTCCACTGGAGGTGTGTCACCTCTAAGAGGTGGGGCCTAGTGGGAGGTCTCCTGCTCCTAAGAAGGAATGCCCTAGCAGGGGATGTTGGGGCCTTGGCCCCTCTTCTTTTTTTTTCTTTGCTTCCTGGCCATAAGACCACCAGCTCCTTTTATCACATGCTGCCTTGATGTGCTGCCTCACCACAGACCAGAGATCTGGGCTGAAATCTCCCAAGCTGTGAGCCAGAATAAACCTTTCCTCTTTTCAGGTTACTCAGGTGTTTTCTTACCTAGTGGGCACTCATGCAGGGGCTGCCAGTGTAACTGCCTGCCACTACCAACCTCTGGCCCCACAATTCATGCCATTCTATATGACAGTGACACTTGAGTCCCTTCAAAATTGCCATCTCATCCAGGAGTTAGGCTAGAAGCCCAGAATCCTGTGGTCTGTAACAGGTCCAGGTGTGGAGAAGGCATGTTGGTTGTGGCTTCTTTTGCTCTATAGACCTGTAAAGTAACAGACCCGTTGTCTGCCCTCCACACCCAACATTCAGTGTTGAAACAGGAGCACTGCTGTGGACACCCCCATTCAAACAGGAGGTGAGTACCCAGAATCACTGGTACATAGCAGTGTTGAAACCCAGCTAGATACCACCAGCCCCTCAGCTCCAGGGCAGACATTGTTCCTGCAGGCTTGGCCTGCCCCTTGCAAGAATCCCCTGGTCTCCTGCTTCAGCAGTTTGTTTTGTTTCCAGTGCTGGGGATGGAGCCAGCGCCTTGTGCATGCTCCCACTGCCTCAGCAGCTCTTGCCCCACCCCCTCACTCCTGGCTCCACACTGAGTCACCTTTCCTTTTCTGTAGGAAATGGCTCCTGTTTGCAGCTAAGTTGCTTCCTCAAGCCTGCTTCTTGCTTATAGAAAGTTGGGGGCCCAACAGTTTCCTATATTTTGGACACTGCATCTTTTAGTTCAAACAGATACTATATTTTTAAAAAGTTTGTGTGCTGGCTATGGTGGCCTGCCCTGTGATCTCAGAGACTTGTGAGGCTGAGGCAGGAGGATCAAAAGTTTGAGGATAGCTTGTGTAACTTACCAAAACTGCCTCAAAACACAAAGGGCTGGGGTGTGCCAGTAGTAGAGTACTCCTGGGCTCAACCCTCAGGGCCACAAAATGAATAAATTTTAAAAAAATGTATGAATGTTCCACACATAAAATTGTAACTCACCTCACTAGACACAAGCTGTGCCACAAATTCTCTTACTGTGGGCTTCAAGTCAGATCTATTGGACAGTGCCCCTGCCTGAAACCTCTCAGAGACCTTAACTAGGGGTCTTATGAAGCATCTGGAATAGCTGGTGACCCTGAGGGTGTGTCTTGCAGGTAATATCTTTGAGTTTCATCTCCTTCCTAATGCCCTTTCTTTTGGGAAACTTGCTACCTGGAGAGGCTGAAAGTGAGAAAGCATTTTGTTTTCCAACTCAGCAAAACTTGTGTTGAGGGGCTGGGGATGTGGCTCAAGCGGTAGCGCGCTCGCCTAGCATGCGCGCGGCCCGGGTTCGATCCTCAGCAGCACCACATACCAACAAAGATGTTGTGTCCGCCGAGAACTAAGAAAAAATAAATAAATGTTAAAATTCTCTCTCTCTCTCTCTCTGTCCCCC